TGGTGCTGCGTCTCGGCGGGAGCCCCTCTCTCCACAGGAGCAGCGCGAGTGGTTTGCTCGCCGCTGGAGGCGTACTGCTGGAGCTGGAGCTTCTTCGACCGTCGAGGGTACTGGTGCCGCCGGTCCCGGAGGTGCTACGCCTGCGGGTCCTACTGGAGCTGGGGCTGCTGAGGGCGTTGGTGCTGAGTCTGCTGCTGTCTGTCCTGACGGTGGTTCTGCTGCTGGTGCTGCTGGAGGTCCTGCCGCTGGAGGTGTTGGTGGCGCTGGTGCTGCCGGTGAGGGTGCTGGTGCTGCCGCTGAGGGTGCTGGTGCTGTCCCTGCTGAGTCTGGAGCTGCCGCGCGGCCTCGGCCGTACTTCGTTCCGCTTCTGCAGCAGGTTCTTGGTCTTTCTCCTCCGGTAGAGTGTCCACAGCCTGTCCAGTCGCAGTCACTGTTGGAGCCTACCTCCCCACTACCTGCTCCCTCTCCTTACACTGGTCCTACTGGAGGTCTTGCTGAGCGTCGTGAGCCTGTGTCTCGTCCCGCGTCGCCTGTTCGTGCTGCCCGCGCTAGTGGTCGTGGTTCGCGTCCGCGTCCTCCTCCTGTCCCTGGCACGCACCGGATGTCTCTGCGTCCGTCCACTGCTCCTCTGCGTGCCCTTTTGCCTTCTCCTCATGAGTCCTCCCTTCCTGTGCTTACCGACCCAGAGTCGGACTCCCTTCGTGCTGCCAGTCCTAGTGTCACGCGTCTGCTTTCTACAGTCGTCACTGACCCCTCTTTTGAGTCCGCTGCTGCGTCTGCTCTTGTCGCTGAGCTTGTCGACTTTGCTGCTCGCTGTCGTCTAGACTACGCTGCTAGTCTTGTTGCTGAGTCTGCGTCTGTCTGTCTTCCGTCCGTCGGGGGTGAGTGTGCTCTTGGCACGGACGTCCTAGAGGACAGGCAGGAGGAGTTCCAGTGTCTGGCTGCTGCTTCACCTCATCTCGCGTCTGTACTGCTTGCTCCTGAGGGAGACCCGGATGCACTAGACATCCCGACTCCGCGCTCTTACGCGGAGGCCGTAGAGGGTCCCTACTCCTCTCAGTGGCAGGCAGCTATGGATGCAGAGATGGCTTCCTGGAAGTCCCCAGGCACCTACGTTGACGCGGTTCCCCCTCCTGGGGCGAACATCGTCAGTGGCATGTGGATCTTCAGGGTGAAGCGGCCGCCGGGCTCTCCACCTGTCTTCAAGGCGCGGTACGTCGCTCGTGGCTTCAGTCAGCGGCAGGGAGTTGACTACTTTCAGACCTTCTCTCCCACCCCGAAGATGACCACTCTTCGGGTGATGCTGCACATAGCCGCTCAGCGCGACTACGAGCTTCACTCTCTCGACTTCAGTACTGCGTTCTTGCAGGGGAGCCTGCACGAGGAGATCTGGCTGCGCCGTCCACCTGGCTTCACTGGGACTTTCCCTCCTGGCACCCAGTGGAGCCTCCGACGGCCAGTCTACGGTCTCCGCCAGGCACCACGTGAGTGGCACAACACACTGAGGACTACGCTTGCGGCCCTTAGGTTTGCTCCTTCTACTGCTGACCCGTCGCTGTTTCTGCGCACCGACACTTCACTGCCGCCGTTCTACATCCTCGTGTACGTCGACGACTTGGTCTTTGCCACAGCGGACACTGCTGGACTCGCCTACGTGAAGTCCGAGCTGCTGAAGAGACACACGTGCACAGACCTGGGTGAACTGCGCAGCTACCTTGGCTTGCAGATCACTCGGGACAGAGCACGCCGCACCATTACCTTGACTCTGTCACACATGGTGCAGCAGGTCCTTCAGTGCTTCGGCTTCACGTACTCCTCGCCTCAGGCCACTCCTCTGTCTACTCGTCACTCGCTCTCAGCTCTGCCTTTGGATGAGTCCGTAGAGTCGAGTGGCCCGTATGCAGAGCTTGTTGGCTGCCTCATGTACCTGATGACCTGCACACGACCTGACCTTGCATACCCTCTGAGCATTCTTACACGCTATGTTGCTCTTGGGAGACACCGACCAGAGCACATGGCTGCAGCGAAGAGGGTATTGCGCTACCTGTGCAGTACGTCGGGCATGGGGCTAGTGCTTGGAGGGCGGAGTCCAGTGGTACTTACAGGTCACGCGGACGCTTATTGGGCTGACGACCAGGCTACGCAGCGGTCGTCACAGGGTTACACCTTCAGCCTTGGCTCCGGCTCTGTCTCGTGGCGGGCTACTCGCTCGTCTTCGGTTCTCAGCTCGAGTTGTGAGGCTGAGATCTACGCAGGGGCCATGGCTGCACAGGAGCTTCGCTGGCTCACCTACCTGCTGACTGACCTTGGAGAGCCGCCTCGTTCTCCTCCAGTGCTGTACGTAGACAACAAGGCCATGCTGGCCTTGTGTCGAGAGCAGCGTCTGGAGCATAGAACGAAGCACATTGCTCTTCGCTACTTCCTTGCTCGTGAGCTACAGCAGCGTGGACAGTTGCGGCTTGCGTACGTGGCCTCTGAGGCCAACACTGCTGATGTGTTCACTAAGGCACTCGCGCCTTGTGACCATCAGCGCTTCTGCACCCAGCTGGGTCTAGTGCCTGTCTTGCCTCACTTGCTCTCCTCTTGACTTTACTTGTACTGTCACATATATATACCTGCTCTTGCTTGTCTAGCTTTATATATATATGTGTGTACTCCTGCATGTGAACTGGCCTTGTGGCCTTGCTCTTGTGCTCGGACTGTGTGGTGACTTTGTGATCCACCCTGAGCTTTGCTTTGCTTTGCTTGACTGGTCTAGTGACCCCTTGTTCTCCCCCACTTTGCCTATGGGGGTGTGTCAGAACATATATGTAGCTTATGCTGTTGTGTAGGCTATAGTGGGGTATACCATAGGGGGTACAACCCAATTAGGGTTTTGCTATTTGTACTCACTTCACTCATAGTTCATTCACTCTCGTTCTATTCTCCACATTTACAGCTGTAAAACGGTTTTAACCATTTGATGACGTGAACAACCGAATTGTACCTGCGGCAAAATCATTCTTTTATGCGGCCAGACATTCGCGCGCGATCTCTTGTTCCGTGAGTCAGCGCGGGATTCTGTTTTTCAATCGAGATCCCACGCGCCCCACTTGCCACACGCCACGACCGAGATATTTCTCCATAGTCAAACTATCGAGCCCCCTGGTACACCGCTCGCTCGCTTGGAACCCCAATTGATGAAACCATTTGTTGACCACAGCAACTGTCTAGGTACCACTTGTTGATGTCTTTCTTGGCCTTAGCGAGGTTTGCAAGTTTCTGAGTCAGATTGATGGTCCATGTTGTGGTCGTTCTCGTAATCATACCCTTCATCGTCATGTGCGATGCGTGCAGGTGGCGAATCTTGGATCCATTGCGACGCTTGCCGGTCGTATTGCATGCGGCCAACTGAGAGCTCATCGTAGGTAGGATCATCCTCCACTTCTTCAACCTGGCCTTGAGGTCTTTCTCGAGGTGGGTCTTGCCGCATGTCTTCCCAGCCGTGGAAGAATCGGTAGTGACGGTTGGGTCGAGGGTGTCCGTGTCGCACCATGCAGGTTAACACTTTGGTCATTCCTTTGTCATTTGCAGAGATGCGTGCGGGAGTCAAAGAGGTGATGGCGACGGCGGGCGTAGAAACGGTCGGGTTGCGGGCTGCTTGCTGGTGGGGTCCTCCTCCTTGTTGCTTGTAGTTGCCGTTCAGCTTCCAGCATTCTTTGATCGTGTGTCCGGTCTTATTGCAGTATTTGCAATGTCAGTGTGAGTCTCTTCTTGTCGAGTAGTCCTTCTACGCTTGTGTAAAATGCAATCTTATCCTTCTTGTTTCCTCTCTTGTTATATAGAGAGGAGCGAGGCGCATAGCAAATTTTCACTACGGGTACCTTGTGTACGGAGAAGCGATTTGGTCGTTGGTGCAACCCTACGATTTGCACTTGGCTTGTTGTCCGTGTACGTGCATGCGTGTGTGCATGGGATGGTATGGGGGCGTGAGATAATATATATTTCATGCTTATAATAGTGTGTGAATGTCGAGTTATGATGTCGAATGTGTGTGTCGAGTTAATAGCGAGTTATCTCTAGTCGCGTGTCGCGCGGTCTTTTGTGTCCTGTTCGCGGTTTCTAATTTGTCGTGCGTCTTGTGCACGCTTTCTGTTTTATCGTATGTGGAACGTTCGGTGAATCGCAGGTGTGTGCAGCAGACCTATCAAGAACTCAAGAATGAGTTTATGATGAAAAACCAAAGCCTTGGTTTTAAGATTCAAGTAATCGCGAAGCCCGCAAGAAGGGCACACCTCAAGATATTGAGAATAGTTACATTACTTTGTGTAGTGTAACATATGGGGGGTGCAATCTAACGAACCAATCTGGACCAACTAGGCCCAAGACCGAGGCGCACATTGGGAAATGCGCAACTCAGGCCTGAGCAAGGTAAGTTCAGCGGACACACACCCTCTAATTGCTTTCCGCTTGTTATCCTTTCGTGTAGTGGAACGTTGCTACCTCGGTCCTACAGCCAGGTGACACACCACTTAGGGAGGACCCTCGGGGTGAGAGCCGCAACACTTTTATATAACAAGCGTGCAAGCATGGATGTGATCGAGCTGCGTTAAGGCACGAACTAGATTGCTCGCGGCACAATCCCCCATGAGCGCAAGCGATCGTTGGAGAGGTCGCCGCGGAGGCCTGAGCAATCGCCGCGAAGGCCGGCCTTTCGCGCGGATCAAGTGCTTCTTGCGCCAGATCGCCGAGAGGGAGGATCCGCATGAAAAGGAGGAGGCAAATTCGTATTTTCTACGGTGGGGAGTGACCCATGGAGAACAAAAGTGCACCATGGAGTTGGTGGTGTTTGCAGGTATCACCAGGACACGGGAGCATATCGCTTGCCAGAAGAAGGTTATCACCATCGAGGTCGCGTGCGAGGCTTGGAGGGCTTGTTTCGGGTTGGCATGAAGACAGGGAAGACGAGGCCGACACAGCAAACAAGTGGCTGGAGTCGAATTGCGAAGGCAAGGAGAAGGATGAGGGCGAAGCCCAGGAGGAAGGAGCAGGTGAGCAGCGCGACATGCCCGCTGGAGTCAACGTGGCCGACCCTACGCAGGTAGGCGAGATGGCATAGTTAGGCAAGGAGGAGGCGGATGGAACAAGAGGTGCGCGAAACCAGCTGCGTAAAGAATCGCATGTGTCCGGACATCAGGCGCGTGTTGGAGAGAAGAGCGGAGGCGGGCTGCGGTTGCCAGATCAACGTCGGACCCAAGATGGGAGGCGCAGCGGCGGGGTACGCTCACCCGATCTGCGTCAGCGCTGTGACGGGAGGCGGGGAGGCGGATCGCATTTGCCGGATCCGCGTCAGCATCGTGAAGGGAGGCGAGGAGGCGGCTTGGGTTTGCCAGATCCACGCCAACATCGTGACGAGAGGCGGGGAGGCGGCTCGCGCTCGCCAGATCCGCGTCAGCATTGTGCCAGGAGGCGGGGAGGCGGCTCACGTTTGCCAGATCCGCGTCAGCATCGTGGCGGGAGCCGTGGAGGCGGCTCGCGTTTGCCAGATCCGCGTCAGCATCATGACAGGAGGCAGGGAGACGGCTCGCGTTCGCCAGATCCACGCCAGCATTGTGACGAGAGGCGGGGAGTCAGCTCGCGCTCGCCCAGGAATACGTCAGCGCCATGAGGGAAGGTGGGGAGGCGGGTCTCGCTCGCCCGATCTGCGACAGCACCGTGACAAGAGGCGAGGAGGCGGGTTTCGCTCGCAATATCAGTATCAGCAACGCGATGGAGGACGTACTGGCGAGTTGGGCTCACCGGGGACGAGACGGCAGTACGATGGGAGGTCAAGGGCCGAGGAACGGTCGCCTGACCTGAAATGCGGAAGGCAAGGGGAAGGATGGGCACTGGCACGTTACTCGCCAAAGAGGCAATGGGGGCAGAAAGGAGCAAGGATGGGTGCAGAGGAGATGTGAAGGGAGGTGGGATAGGATCACCGCAGGAGCAAAGGAGGAGGCAGTGGTTTGGCATACAGCATGGAGCGCGCCAGAGTGGCAAGGGAGGGAATTGAGCGAGCGAGGGAAAGAGAAGCGCCAGGAAGATAGGCAAGAGGGCCGAGCGAGTCATGGGAAGACGGGCGAGGTAGCACAACAATGGTCACACGAGTGGAAGTGCCGGCGCGATTCTTAGGAGATTAGCGCACGGGGCCCACGCTCAAGAACTACCTTATAGAAGTGGGAAATATGAGATACAGGTGCAAGAGGAGCGGCATGGATTCGGTGGACTTCTTCCTGATTCTGCCAAATATATTGGAAGGGGAGGCAGAAACACTATGCAGGATGAAGATGGACGAGTTGCTGGAGAAGGCAGGAAGGTACTGGGAAGTCCCCACGGAGGCTTTCCTGACGCGGCTCCAGCGACAGTTTCCTGGACACACTGCAGAGAGGATAAGAGAGTTTTAGGATTTCAGGAGGGGGCGGAGTGAGTCGTTGCTCACAATGTGGCAGAAGATGTGACGTGTTTAGACATGGGTCTTCTCATCAATAAATTCCTCAATGGACTGGACAACACCATGGGGAACGGACTGCGGATGAAGGTGTACGAACTGGGGGCAGATGCAACAGTGGATGCGATATTTGAGTTAGAGGAGAAAATCGAGCTCGCATAGAGGAAGTATGAAGCGTACCGGCCTCGGACAACACAGCGGACCTGTGGACCGACTTGGGCAGCGGCTATGATACCAGAAGTTAAGGACAAGCCAGCGGGTCGAGGGGAGAGCAGGCCAGAGGCGCAAACGTCCCACTGATGTGGACAGCCGGGACACATCTGCAGGGACTGCAAGAATTGTGACGGCTGTGGGAAGCCGGGGCACCGGAGGTAGAAATGCCCAGATGCGCCAAAGTGTGAGATCTGCAGTAAGAAATGACATGCAGCAAAGGACTGCTATCAGTGGGAGGGAGCAGCGAAGAGGAACGTAGAAGAGTTGGAGAGGTATATCAGCAGAATGAAGGCGCAGCTGCAGGTAGTGGGATCACATAGAGAAGCTGAGGCAGGGATGTATGCTAGGGATAAAGAAGAGGAAGATGTGGAACAGGACGAGCAAGCAACACTCATGGTGTGGCGAAGGAGGGAGGAGATGGGGCTACGTAGCAGAGGGAAGGATGCTAGTCAAAAACTTGTGAGAAAGGAGTGAGAGAAGGGGAAGATGCAGGAAGAGAAGGAAGAGAGGTGTACAGCCGCACATCACCCGTAGGAAAGATTGGCTTGCCAAACTTCTATGTTACTAATCAAGAGCGAGGCATTGATAGTGGAAGGAGAGAAGGCAAGAACAGCAATCATTGATACTGGAGCACAGAGCGTGATATTAGGGAAGGGAATGGCTGAGAAGCTGCAACTGCTGGCACTAGAGAGACATGTGGCCAAGGGAATGCTGGTGATGACTGCAGAACGTGGGGAGTCGAAATGGATGCCGTGCACAAGGACGCCGATAGAACTGACTCTACTGCCAGGGGAGAAGCACGAGACGCAAATTAGAATTAAGTGAGGAATTTCAGAATCTTGGGACTTCGACGTGCTGGTGTTTGCATTGGGGATGATCATACGCTCTTGGAAGGAAAGCGTGGAGTTCAGAAAAATATGGTGGAAGAAGGGAGAACAACTGGGACATCTGCTCATGCAATTCGTAAAGACAGAGCCGAAGAGGGCTTATCGAGCAGCTAAGAAGGAGACAGCAAAGCAGGGGATAGAGGAGCTACAGCACCCGAGGGAGAGAGGGAGGACCCAAGGATGAAGCTCATGAATGAGCCGAGCCAATAGACTGATTGGCAGCAACCGACTAGTGGAGGTGTTCAGGGGAATAGGGGCAAGGCTAGCAGCCATGGTGAGGAATGGGATAGAGGTGAATCAGTGGATATATGTAGAACAAGCGCCGGTGGTGAGGAGAATGGTTGAGGATAATGTGTGGAAGCTGCACAAGGATTTTCCAAGGCTGCTGAAGGAAGTGATTCGGGCGGCAATAAGCAGAGATGTGAAGGATGTGAGGGCTATGACTGAGGTGGAGGTGGCAAGCTGCGGGCACATGGACCTACTAGTGGCAGGATGGGAATGCCAAGGGGTATCATGGGCAGGAAAAGGGAAGGGTGAACAAGACGTCAGGACCAAGCTGATGGTTGATTTGTTTCAGATCATGGAGTAGTTGCAAGAAAGGCAGGGCAGGGTGGCGTACCTGCTAGAACACCTGGACATGGAAGGGGATAGCCGAGAACCTGTGAGGCTGGTGAGAGAAAGGGTGAAGAGACAGGTGGGAAAGGGAGTGAGTAGCTACGCAGCGCGGATGGAGCATACGCACACCGCCTTAGGATGTACTGGCAGAACGTTGTGCCTATGGAAGACCTGCAGAGGGAGGTAGAAGGGGTGAAGGGGCAGAGTGGTGGAAGGTGCGCGACATTCTTGAGCTAGGGAGGACTCCAACACCAGTTTTCAAGAGGAGTTACAGCAAGCACTACCCATGCAACCAGGTGGGAGAGGAGGGGCAGGCTTTACCCACCTTGGTTTCGTATGAAGGTGCAGCAAGGTATTGGTTGGAAGGAGGGAAGCCGGGGCCAGGAGGAAAGGGCGGTGGGAAGAACCCACTGCATTGGAGCAAGAGTTGGCCATGGGGTATGGGAAAAACGTCATGGCAGTACCCGGCGTAAGCGAGAAGAGGAAGGGGGGGCTGGGGAATGCCATGGACGGGTACATGATGAGATGGAGAGTATAGCGAATGTGGAGGGAGACAGTTCTCAACTGGGGGCAGAAGGAAGAGGAGACTAATGTGGCACCAGACAGGCAAGGGGTGTGGGTCTGCTAGGAGAAGGAGGAGCCGGAGTGGAAGATATGGGAAAGCATGAGTAAAGGAGATGGCGCTGAAGTTGAGTTGTGACGAGCCAGTGTTCCACCGGAGAAGGAAGATCCCGCCCGGGGATGAGGAGATACGCAAGGAGAAATAGAGGAGCTACTGGAGGCAGGTCTGGTCAGGTCAGAGTCAGAATACGCCACCCCAACTGTGATAGCGGCCAGGAAAGACTTGACAAAAGAGGTACTGAGCAGGAGGATGTGCGGGGATTACAGGGCGCTCAACAAAATCAATGTGCCGGACAGGTACCTCATGCCAATGGCTGAAGAAATCTTCGACAAGTTGGCCGACGGGGTGTTCTTCACAACGCTGGCTTTAATCAGATAAAAACCAGGGAGGGTGATGTGAGGAAAACGGCCTTTCACGGACCAGATGGGCTATACAAGTGGCTGTACATGCCTTTTGGTCTGAGGAACGCTTCGGTTGTGTTCCAACGGATCATGGATGCAGTGTTGCGGGGGGTGGACTGTGCGGAGTGCTACATCGATGATGTAGTCAACTTCATTGTGACGGAGCAGCAACACCTGGAAGATAAGGAGAGAACTTTGAGTGCGATAGAAGAGGCTGGGCTCACCTGCGACCCGAAGAAATGCAGATGGGGGGAGCAGACGGTGCAGTATTTGGGGTACGAAGTTCGGGGGGGACAGATCAGGATCTAGCAAGCAAAGGTGCAAGTGTTGGATAAGCTGGATGAACCTAGGGACAAGTTGGGGCTGCGAGGAAAAAAAAAAAAGGGGGGGGGGGGGGGATCCAGCAAGCAAAGGTGCAATTGCTGGATAAGCTAAGGGAACTTCGGGCTGCAAGTCCGGGAGTTTTCTTTGGTCACTGGCCATCAACCGCTGACATGGCTGATGACCACACTAGGGCTGACGCGCAGGAACGCGAGGTGGGAGGTGAAGCTGTAGGAGTATGATTTCAAGATACGGCACTGGCTCGGAAAGACGTTGCAGCACGTCGATGGCCTCTCCCGCAATCCACCGCCACTGGAGCCAGCGCAGGCACGGCCAGAGCCTACACAACCATTGCTGGAATCAGCGCAGACATTGATCCTACTGGTTAAGGAGGTGGAGCAGAATGGGGCTAGGGGGAGCAAAGGGCCTGCGGATATTTAGCAGGATGAAAAGGCGATGGAATGGGTGAAGGGAGATACCGAGGAGGATGAGACAGTGCCAGAGAGAGTGAGGGCTCGAGGTTACCACCACAGGTGGTATCAACAGCAGTTGCAGATACAAACTGAAGATGGCTGGAAGCTAGTGCTAGTGCAAAGTGAACAGGAAGCCGTGATCAAGGAGGTGCATACGAAGCTGGGGCACTTTTAGCACAAGAAGACCGTGCAGCTGCTTAAGACGGGCTGGTGGTGGGAGGGGATGCGCAGGCAAGTGAAAGAACGGCTAGAGAGGTGTGAGGCATGCTAGAGGAGCAAAGCTATTGTGGGCTGACTAAGCGCATAGTGCAAACCATCAAGCGAGGGCTGCGGACATATGGGGAATGGAGAAAAGGGGACTGGGATAATGAGCTGGACTGGATTGGTGCAGGGTACAGGTCTAGGAAGCAGGTTGCGCTGCAGGACCATTCATCGTATAGTCTCCTGTATGGTCGAGAGCCCATTCTACTAGTGGGGGCATCACGGGTCTTGCCAGACACGGTGACAGCGGGCACTATAAGGAACTGGGTGGCTTCATCCGAGGTCCAGGCCCGATACATGCAGTTCATGATGTCGACTGCACTGGAGAATCCACACATCGCGCGGCTGCGGGACGCCAGGAGATATGAGCAAAGGCAAGACAAGGGAGAGGGGAGAGTTGCGAAGGGAGTATGCAAACGAAGTGGCTGAGGCAGAACATGAACATACAAGAAGAGGAGAGCCAGGAGAGATGAGACAAAGAGCGTGCAAGGAAGACGCGATTCTCCGACATAGAGCCTAGCTTCAGTCGTGGGAACGAGGGTAGTAATAAGTGATTGGGCAATGGGACTACACTATTTGTATGTTCTCGTTTCCTACTGCAAGTTTTTACCTCATGAGATAACAGTATTGGTCAAAGCCATCACAAGAAGTGAACTGGTGTGGGAAAGAAGTTGAAC